CGTACCTGTCCCCCCCGTAGTCCTGGAACATGGGGAGGAGGGCCATCGCCTGCTGTTCAGCAGCTTGGGAGGTCTGGGGGAGGGTGTCAAGAACAGTACCTTGGGCAGTGGCAACTCTCTTATCATTCTCGGGCCCCAGGAAGACCCACGAATAGGCGGCCCTCGAAAGTTCACGAATCGGGTGTCGAAACGCCGAACCATCAACACAGACATCGGGCCCCCGAAGGTCAATCGAATCCCAAGGAACCTCCTTTCCTTCCCCGTCGAAGAGGGTGGGGTTCGGGTTCGTCGAGGGGGGGGGGCAGGTACTTTCGGGGTGCCCCCATTTCATTTCATCGAAAAACTTCCTATCTTCGCCGCCCAAAGCCTCAGCATACCAGGCGGGAAGCTCGTCGCCTAGCGCTTCAGCTCGTGCCTTGGCAGCATCGGGGTGGAGACATCTCCATGCTCGATGCCGAACACTATCGGGAAGGCCGCAAAGAGGGCAGTCTCCTGCAGTGCTATAACCACATGCGCGAGCCCTTGCTCGCGTCCAAACCCCTTGGCAGAAAACCGTGAAGGCCAGATATTTGTCTCGTTGAGAGAGTCCTTTCCCCCTGGGTCCCAACAGCTTTTTCAAGGGTTCAACACAGACTCGGGTCCCTTGGAACCCCTCAGTGCTCTCGGCTAACGCTCTCTCGTGGGATCTCTGAGTAGCCAAGTCCAACAAAAACGAAAGCATGGAGGGAGAGGTGTAGGCCAAAGAAATCTCACGATTATAATCATCTCGAAACGTCAAAGCCGAGGTGGAAGTCCATCCGATCCTGCGCAGGCTAAGGTGCATCCTCTGAAGGGGACCACGAGAGTTATTCCACGTGGTGCTGTCATCGAAAGGGACATCTCGCCAGAAACCGCACAGGCCTTTCACAATGTGAAAGGAAGACTCAGGACGAGTGATGGCCGTCCAAACAACAGCAGCCCACTGGAGCACAGGGGCAACAGCAGGTCTCCACATGGGGCCTCCAAGGATGGCCAGCTTCGCCCTCAGAGAGCATCCCTTGTGACGAGGGGGCTTGTAACTAAGAAGCACACGTTGACCTTCCCTAAGCTCTCCGTTGCTAACCCCCACAATCGCCGATCCAAACGTGGCCGCTGGCAAAACTCCAGCAGTGTAAATTGTCCTATCCTTCCTCGCTGGCGGGGGAGGGCTCTCGTGCAACGCTGGAGCACACGGTGGCGTCTACGCATGTCTTGGAAGCGTTGCTTGCGCTTCCACTCTCCTCGCACCTCTACGCCCACCTGGGGCAAGGTCCGATCCTAACGAAACGATTCCCGTGCTGACTTGGCCCGCCATCCTTCCCAACAGTCGCGCAAGTTTGTTGGCCAAACCTTGATTGCTCGCGAACGTGCAAATCTTGTCAGGGTGGACGTCCACCTTAAGCTCTTCACGAAAAATGATCAGCAGGGCCGCAGCAGCCTTTGAAACCCGTGATAGCACCAGCTGCTCAGCGCCGTCACTCGTCACGCTGTTGTCGTCCACGCAAGACGAAAGCCAGACTTCAGGATGCTCAACCATAAAGCGGTCGAAGGCACCTATACTGTACACACGCACGAATATGTCATTGAAAATGTCAGCAGCTGGTAATCCTGACGAGCCAAAAAGAGGAACGAGGCCATACTGGGCCCCGATGCGCAACAGCCGAGGGCCCCGCCAGTAGTTATACGTCGTTTTCACAATCGTGCTATTTATGCCATGCTCCAGGGCCCTTTGCCGGAGGAGGGAGAGGTCGAAGGATTCATAGTATTTGGTGGCATCCCAAATAAACCCCCCCGAGACCTTATCGTTCTGTTGAGCAACCTCGGCCTTGACCGCCTGATGCCAGACAGCATCTTCAGCACTGCGACCTGGGCCGAAAGCCCAGTATTTCCTAGTAGCTCAAATTAAAGTCGGTCACGAACGGTCGTCGCAACCTTTCCCAGACTCGAACGGGCCCCGCACACAACTAAATGGGTCGAAGCCCTCCCTTGGGTTTTTCAAGGAGGGGAAACAAAAGCCAGAACAACTGTTTGGGGAACAAACCCAAACACCCCGTAGCTTGCACAATCGCCGCAAACGTTTCCAGAGCTTCATCCGACACCAGACTGAACTGACGAGGGTGCATACCGTCGAGGCTCTGGGAGGTGAGGTGAGAGAAACTCGACGAGGCTTTTCGAAGCTCAATCGCCGAGGGTCGGGGCAGATGCTCTCTGTCGGGCACGCAAACCTCAGGAGGTTCGTGAGACGCGTGCCAGACACCAGCAAGCTCATCGCCTTGCTGCCTCAGGAGAGCCTGCGGATCATTGGAGAAAAATCCTGGGTGGGTCTGAACGACCGTCGGGGACCACTTCGCTTTTAACTTGGTCAATCGATGCATAGCCCTCGCCCCCCCGTGTAACGCCTTCTCCTGCCACTCATCCCAACTATCCCTCTTTTGTTTGTCGATGGCCTGCTTGGCCGCCGCGAGATCGTCATCCCACGAAGCGAGAAACTCCTGGCACTCGTCGCTCCAGTCCGACAGCACACCTGCCGAAGGAATCCTGCGTGCCAAGGCTCGCGCCTGCACCAGAGCAGCGTCTAAACGGATACTGCGCCCTTCACCTGGGCAGGGTGTGGTGAGCAGCTGCTGGACCTGGAGCTCCACATCACTGGTTAGTTGATCGATTTGGGCATGGTCCTGGAAAACGGGGTCATCATGAAGCTTCTGGAGCCTCACAGAGGCCCCAATCGTCTCGGAAAGCTGTTGCGCAAGCCAGATCCATCCGTGGTGCTGCTGTCTCTCATCCACACAACTTGGCTTGGTGAAAATCTGGACCCATCTTGGTTTCAGGAGACCCCCTTTGAACCCCTTCTGTTTGACCTCAACCCCAGTGAAGGCCTCGAGCTCGAGCTCGAACATGTTAGCGAAATGGCGCCACGCGTCCGTGAGCAGCTCCCACGCATATCCAACTGGCTGGGACAAGGCTGCATCAGCTGCTGCCTCGGCAACTGCTCGAGGCACTCTCCAGTCCTGAGGCTGAGGTGACGGTCCTATGGGTAAACTAGTGGGCAACTTTTGGTGGGTTCGGTACATGAGCTGATAACACTTGACCGCATCAGCCATCAAGGAAATGCACACGGGTCGGTGAGGTCTGTGTGCCCATGACACGTCAGCCTCGATATTCTTGCAAGCTCTGGCGAAGCATGTGCTGGCGAGAAAATAATCAATATTAGACAAGCTGGTGGGGGAGAGGCATGTCTTTTGATCTGGTACCATCAAGGCACCTCCCCTCCCGCCCTGCGGACCACCCCCGACGCCTCGACCAAGCTAGGGTCAATGTTCCAATCGCAACCGACAACGAACATGTGTTCACGTTCAAGCCTCTCCCCCACCAGGCGAAGAAGCGACACGTTCATCTGGCACAAGCCAGTTCCACTCTTAAGATATCCGCAGACCACCTGGAGAGGCGGCCAAGAGGGTATGTCAACAACAACGTTGATCAATCTTCCTGGCCAGAGCGTGCCCGAGCCATCCTGGGGCCACCTCAGACCCAAATGTTTTCGAACGAACACAGCCACCCCCGCCCTCGTCTGGCCACCTTCGCCAGGGAGGGATGGGGAGGAAAGCATTTTCCAACCGAGGGCCCCCACCGCCGCCGCCTTTTCACCCTCTCGCTCCTGCACGAACCCGACCTCCTGCGCCAACAGGATACTCGACTCAGTGTGACACAGACGCTCACGTAGAGTAGGCCACGAGTTGCCGTTATACGTTTCAATGCAGAAGCCCCGACTCAAGAGCATCTCGGAGGTCGAGTCGGGGGGAGAAGCGGGGGGAGGTGGAGGAGGTGCAGGCACTCCGAATTTAGACAGAGGCAAGCCACAGCAGCGGGGCATGAGACTACCTTGGCCGCTTCTGCTTGCCAATCTTGCGGGGCACTGGTCTAAACTTAGCACAGAAGGCCTCACGGTCCAGGTTGCTGGAGGCGAGGATCTCATCTGCCATCTCGAAGTCGAGCTCGATGTCATCGGGCTCGTTGTTGCTGTTGCCTGTAGCCTCAGCGACAGTAGGAAACCCAGCGCCAGAGCCAGTGGCGCCCTTCTCGAATGGAGACTTGGCGACCGCTGTAGCTCTCTTCTGCTTGTGGTTGCTGCTCTCCGTGAGGACACGCGCAAAGTCCTTGAAGGCCTGCGAGTCCATGAAAGCCACGATGGAGTCCTTACTGGGATGGTTGTCCAAAAACTCTGTGTCCAGCTCGAACGTCGCCGCCACAGGGTTTGGCATAGTATCTTGAAGCTCTTGATGCAGTACACGGATCTCCTCCTCAGCAGACGAGATCTGCGCCTTGGACGAGTCGATCTTCTCTTGTGCTCTGCGTATAACATCGAGCTGATCCAGCACCACTTGCTCAAGCTGGGCTTTCTTCGTAGAAGCCCTCTGGAGTCTGTGCCCAACCGTGGTGTGGCGCGTGAGTTGTGGTTTCGTCTCTGCCAACGCTTTCCTTGCATCGCCAAGGCTGCGTTGCAGGGCTTCCACAGCATCTTTACCAGCTTCACCAGGCAGCTTTTTGCAATTGGCCACGGAGATCTCCAACTGCTTGATCTGCTCTCGAAGTTGATCAGCCCCTTTGCTCTCTTTATCTTGATCGGGATCTTTATCTTTGTCAGGTGACGTAGCTGCATCTGGTGGTCCCCGTTGTCCCGAAGATGCCAGCAGCTTGTCAATCCTCTTTCGCATCGCGTCGAGCTGCCGCTGCATGGGATCACCTCCCTGCGGGCCCCGTGAACGGCGAGGAGGCCCTTGACCCAGGTGACCATTCGGTGCAGCAGCAGCAGCACGTTCTTTAGCACGGCGGTGAATGCTAGCAGGAGCCGACACGCCGCACCTGCATATAGTCCGACACGCCCAGTTCGCGTTCCGTCCGCAATTGTTACACGACCATGTCGGTTGACGTGGTCCGTGGAGTACTTCTCCAGCGTCGCCCCCGACATTGGATGGTGCCATGCGTCAGGGCAGCTGGGTGTGGAGCGCCCTCGCGGGCTCGTAGGCAGCCTCCGCAGAGGCGTTCGAGAAAACGGAGAGGGTAACCCTTGGCCTGGGCAGGCCGACTGAAGGGCACCCTGGGAGCAAATCACACGCCGAAAGCCTCTCAAGCCTGCCGCACGGCTGCGGACAAGCTCGAAACCTCGCATCTAAAACTACCCTGGCCAAAGACTCAGGCAATTGTGAATATCGCTTTCGGTAGGGCTCCCTGTGGGGCCACGAGACGCGTGAGGGGTGTGCCGAAATGAGCACGAGAGCACATGCGGGCGCTGCCATTGGGGCCTTGGGTGGAAATCCCGATGGAACCACGAGACGTGTGAGGGGTGTGCCGACATGTGCCTGAGGGAGCATGCAGGCGCTACCACTGGGGCCTTCGGTGGAATTCCCTATGGGGCCGTTGCCACGAAACGTGGGGGGGGGGGGGGGGCGAAATGGGGCCCGGGGACGCATGCCGTCGCTGCCACTGGAGCCTTCGGTGGAGCCCTCCATGGGGCCACGGAACGTGTGAGGGGTGTGCCGAAATGGGCCTGGGGACGCATTCGGGGGCTGCCACGGGAGCCTTCGTCGAAGGCCCATATGGGGCCACGGAACGTCTGGCCCGTTTTTGGGGCCACGAAAAGCACCCCCTCTATCGTTGAAACTGTTGCAAACAGAACCTGAGTGCACGGCGCGCAGGTGAGAGCCACATGTGGAAAACCGCCCCCCTCTATACTTGAGCATGTTGCAAACTCCAAGCTTCAGGATCATAACGGTGAGAAGATCATAGACGAAACGCCCAGCCCGCCCTACCGACACGTCTGGGGGTGCGCCAGGGAAGAGCTATCTCTAAGAAAACAAGATAAAAGAGGAGGACGGCGAGGACGCGGACGACGACGAGAAGGACGAGAAAGACGAGGGACGAGAAAAACGAAGACAAGGACGCAGAAGGAGGAGCAGGAGGGAGGAGGGACTGTAGGGCGAGGGGAACTCCCTGACGGGTGCCAAACATGACCTCCCGAGCATGCACAGTGCGAGATCCTTCTGGGAATGGAAAGCGCGGTGCAGGGGCCCACCCCACAGAGAGCGAGAGGATCCCCGAGAAGGGGATACTGCAATGGCAGAGGACCCGAACCCCCGACGCCGTGATTTGTTCACAAGGTGGATCCAGAGGTCTCGACCCATTCCCTGGGACCGGCTTCTCATCCTGAGTCGCTTTGTTGACGGCCACCACTCCCGAAAATCGGGGATGGACAGAACCCCCTCCAGCAAAACGTGGTCTAGAAAAAACAACCTCGGGCCCAAATTTGGCGGGCGCAAGCCTGGAAAATGACGGCCGCGGCGCCCTCTCGAGAACCGAAAACGGACAACTCACCAATCGACGTGTCAGGGTGGGGGTTCTGTCCACCCCCGAGAAAAGGGCCCCCAAGGCACCGAAAGCCTTCCGCCGTGCCTTTTGTTGCCGGACGCGGGGTGGGCCTCGGGGACGCGGCACGGAACACGTGGCGGCCCGCGTCGAGGCCGCGCCTGGCCGCGGCGGCGCCCACCTCGCCCGCCAGGGCCTGCGCCTCCGCCGCCCCGGCGCCCACGGCGGCAGGCCCCGGCCCGCGGCCGAGCCTCCGCGCCGCCGGCCGCGGCCCCTGCGCGCCGCGGCCCGGCACGGCGTGGCCGGGCGGCATCCGGTGCGCGGCCCCCTCCAGCCGGGGCCGCAGCGCGGAGAGCCGGAGGGCCAGGGCCTGCATGGCCGAGCGGCTACACGCGCCCAGCGCCGCGTCGAGGGTCGCGGCGTTCGGCCGCGGCAGGTCGCCCCGCCGCGCGGCGGCCAGGAGGAGCAGCGCGCAGCGCCAGCGCTGGGCGCGGCCGCACGCCGCCATCGCCGCGGTCGCCGCCGCCACTCCGATGGGCAGGCCCGCGGCGCGCGCGTGCGCTCGGCGACTCCAAGGCGGGGCCCTGAGGGACGGGGCCCCGGAGGGCTGATGGGAGGTGGACCGCGAGCTGCACCTCGCACTTGTTGAGAGGCTCTCTCACCCTCGGGGCCCCCCGCCCCTCGGGGCCCCACCTTTGAGAGCCGCCGATCCGCGAGGAGGGCGAGGGCGAGCGCCCACTCCCCGCCCTGGATGCAGGTGCTGACGCACGCGCCGCAGGTGATGGCGTCCGGCAGGAGCAGGCCCGCCCTGGTAGGGAGCCCACAGAAGACGTGTAGGCACCCGACCACGTACATGAATACGGGGCCCCCAGTCCGCGAGATCAGCCTCGTGATGCGAACGTTCGCGCAGAGACGTAGGCACCCAACCACGTACATGAATACGGCCCCCCAGTCCGCGAGACCAGCCTCGTGAAACGAACGTCCGCGCAGTGCGCACTCTCGAAACTAAGTAGGATTCATGTACGTGTGCGTCCTTCTTTCGCTCCGGACCTGGAGCGGGCGAGCACCGCGAGCGCGGCCCGCCAGTCGGCGCTGGCAGCGCAGGCGCTGACTGCGGCGTTGCAGGACACCACGTTCGCCCGGACCTGCCGCCGGTGCATCTCGCCGAAGAGGCGCAGTGCCTCATCGCCCCTCCACGCCTTCTCGCACGCACTGATGGCGGCGCTGTACGTGATGACGTCGCACTCGATCAGGCGGCGGCTCATCGCCCGCAGGCAGCCGATGGCCTCACGCCACTGCTGCCCCTTCTCGCAGGCGCTGGCGATGGTGTTGCAGGTGAGCGCGTCGGGCACGATGTGGGATTGGGTCGCCTCTTGCGCCAACCACAGCGCCTCCTTCCACATGCGCATGCTCTGGCACGTGCTGGCCGCAACGTTGTACGAGCTGATGGACATGCGAACGCTCCGCACCCGCGCTGTATGCAGGAGCTGGAGCGTCTGCTGCCAGTGATCCCCTGACCCGCACGCGCTGAGCGCCATGCTGCACGTCAGCGCGTCGGGCACGGTGCGTGCCCCCATCATCTCCAAGAGCAGCGCGGCGGCGACGGTCCACTCGCGGGCCTTCCCGCACGCGAGGACGAGGGCGCTGAGGACCTTGGAGCTGGGCAAAACCGCTCTACCCTGCATGTCCTCGAGCAGGGCCAGTGCGTGCCGCCAGCGCCGCCCCTTCTCGCACGCACTCGTAGCCGCACCGTATGCGAAGACATTGGCTGCCACGCGGACCCGGAACATCTCGGCCAAGCACTGGAGAGCCTCCGCCCAGCTCGATCCCTCCTTGCAAGCGTCTACGGCCGCAGTCCACATCACGACGTCCAGCTCCATCTGACGACGCCTGGCATCCTCGAACAGCGCCAGCGCGCGCGGCCACCCGTGGCCACGGGAAGCTGCGCTCATGGCGGCAGAATAGCTGAACAGGTCCCCACGCCTCCCGCGGCGCTCAAGCAGCGCCAGCACCTCCAGTGCGATGTCCCAGAGCCGTACGGCGCCGAGCGCCGAGAGGGTAGCGTTGTAGTGAAGTATGTTGACATCCGGCCCTTGCCCATCCAACCTGTAAAGAATAGACAATGCAGCGGTCCTGGGGGAACTGAAAGATGCTGATGCTGCTGCTTCCTGGACCTCCCCTGGGGCGTGTCCACACAGGGACCCTGGGACGAACCCAGCCGTGGCGGCGAGGAGAGGCAGGAGAGTCCAGCATCGAACCGACAAGTCGGAATCGGATCGGGATGCTTGTCGGATCGGGCCGCGTCCGCACGGACTCGAAATCGAATCGGATCGGCCGCGCCAGGATGCACAACAGCGCCATGCAAGCATTTGGCCGCATCGGATCGTCAGAATACCGGTATCGAATCGGATCGGGCCAGCCGAAATCGGCATCGAATCAAATCTTCCGAAAATGCATCGTTGTCGGTCTGCTTGCCTTCAGCTCAAAATCCGTGCGAAATCGGTTCACGGACACCTTCCGGGGTCCACCCTGACTGGTTTCGTCCCAGATCGATGTTTAGAGATCCTGTGGACCGAGACACGAGACCAGCCTCCAGACTCTGAAAGCAATGATCCTCGAACCCCAAGCCTCGAAGGTCGGTATGCTCTTCTTCCCTGAGGTCCAGTGGCGGCTCTTGACGAGGCCGATCAGCCTCGACGTAAGCAGGGCGGGGTCGAGCCTTCTCGACATGAGCGCGGCAACTCCATGACGGCCGCAAGAAGCCTGCCCCCCGTGTCGCCTGGCCACCCAAGGGGGCCAGGGGGCCCTCGATCAACTGGACGGATCACCCCCAGGCACAAGCATGCATTACGATGTTGGTCTCATGCTATATCAGGTATGCCAGCGTGGATCCCAAAGAGTGCCTGCGCACGTAACATATGTGGTACATCTTCGGTGGTGGAATTTACGTGGCGCAATATATGTGGTGCAAGCTATGTGGCATTATCCGCCGACCCTGTCGGCGTGTGTGGGGTCTGTCTGGTCCCGTCTGACGGGGAGCCTTCTTTCGTCCCCTCCTTCCCATCCTCCGCTCCCGTCGGGGGGGAGAGAGAGAGAGAGAGAGAGAGCACACTTCCTCGTTCGGGGAACGGGTTCGTAGCTTGAGGGAATTCCTCCATCCACGTCCTCATTACGTCAAAGGGAAGCCCCTTCCCTGTGTCCCTTCCTCGGCGGGGGGGGGGGGGCAGATTCGCATCGCCTCTGGGGGTCCTCCTCTCCCACGCCAGTCCTTCTCCGGCGCGCCGGTCCTCCTCGGGTCCTCCTCCCCAGGTGGGAAGGAGTCCCTGGGGGGGGGAGGGGAGTCAGATACACATCCGTCCCTGGGGTCCTCCTGGAGTCCTCCTCCCCCTCCCCTCCCTTCTCCCACGCTGGTCCTCCTCCGGTCCTCGTCCCCAGGGGGGACGGGGGCCCAGGGGGGAGTCCTTTTCCTCCTCCTTCCCCGCTCGGCCCATACTGGACTTGAAGCAGACTTTAGTTGACACGCTCCACTCCCTTGGGCCCGTCGGCGACCAAGGGAGAGGTAGTGCTTCGAGAGCCCTGCAGTGCCCCAGCTGTCGCAGACCCCTCCTGTTAGGCCCCTGTCCATGTGGCTCCTACTCGCCACGGCTTGACTGCGCACGCCTCTCACACTATGCGGTGGTGGGAGGTGGGGGTGAGCTCTCGAAAGGAATTGATATCTGCCTGCTCAACCTGCAGTGGCCTCGGCACGGACCATTACAGTAGGGGCGGGAAGCTTATGCAAGAGTGCCAGCCCCCCGACCGCACGGGGCTGGCCTATTTGAGGGCCCTCGAGAAGGGGCTCGCGCCTGGTCACACGAAGCTGGCCAGGGAGGTCAACTCCCAAGCTTGACCCTGTGGAGCCGCGCGCAGCGCATCGTCTAATCTCCTCCTCTTCCTTATCTCCGCCTCCTCCTCCTCCTCCTCCTCCTCATCCTTCTCCTCCTCCGCCTCCCCCTCCTGGTCGTCGTCGATGTCTTTCAGGGTCGGCGGCACCAGCCGTCAGGCCTTCATACATACATACATACATGCACACATACACACATGCATGCATGCATGCATGCATGCATACATACATACAGACCGACCGACAGACTGACTGACTGACTGACAGACAGACAGACAGACAGACAGACAGACAGACAGACAGACAGGCAGGCAGGCAGACAGACAGACAGACATACACACGTATACACCCACATACCTACATACATGCATACATGCGTACATTACATACATTACATTACACGAATGCATACATACATAGATACATACATGTATATAAACATACACGCATGCATACACACACATACATGTATACATACATACATACATACATGCATGCATGCATGCATACATACATACATGCATACATACATACATATATACATGCATACATACATACATACATAAATACATGCATACATACATACATACAGCCAGACATACATACAGACATACCGACATACAGACATACATACGTACAGACATACATACATACATGTATGCATGCATGCATACATGCATGCATGCATACATACAGGCAGACAGACATATACATATACATATACATATACATACCCATATACGTATACATATACGTATACCTATGCATATACATATGCATATGCATATACACATACATATACTTATACGTTTATGTACACACATACAGTCACATTTACATATACATTTACATATACATGTACATATACATATACATATACATATACATATACCTATACATATACCTATACATATACATATACAAATACATATACAAATACATATAATTATACATATGTATGTATACGAATACCTACACATATACAATATATATATATATGTATACATATGTATATATATACATACATACATATACATGTACGTACACATGCATACATATATATATATATGCATATAAATACATTTATGTATATATATGTACATCGACATATGCATATATGTATACGTAAACATATATACATACCAAATAGAACCACGCGCGAGTCGCGCGCGCGTAGGTTCTAGCAAGCTCTAGTTGTAGTCTAAGGTGTTTCGTATTGGAGGGCATTGATTGTCACACGGGTCGTGCCCCTCAGGGGGATCCACCTGGGGCCCCAGAGACAGGCTTGGCTAGCCTTCTCCCGCCCTTGTCGGCACACCCCTCACAGGGATCGCACCCCACAGAGGTCCACCTACGTCACCAGAGACAAGGTTCACATAGTGTCACGCCCCTCACGCGGGTCGCGCCCCGCAAATAATTGCATGTGCGGCACCAGAGTGGAGCTTCATAGCGTGGCCCCGCTCACTTCGGCACATCTCTCACGGATCGTGGCCCGCAAGGAGCTCCACGGACGGCCCCAGGGACAAGGATCGCATCTCGCCATCCGTCTACTTCGGCACACCTCTCACACGGATCGCCGCCCACAGGGATCTCCACCTACGGCTCCAAAGGCAAGGTTCGCACTGCGCCCCTCCCCTAGACATTGCGGCACACCCCATCACGCGAATCGTCCCCAAAAGGAACGCCACCTAAAGTCCCAAAGACAAGGTCCGTACAGCGCTCCCACGCCCATGTCGGCAGACCCGTCGCGCAGTTCATGCCTCAGAAGGAACTCCACGTATGGCAACAAAGGGCCGCTTCGCATGGCAAATCCCCGCAGGAACTCAGGAATTCAGCACACCTGTGCAAGCTTGCTCCGCAGCAGCCATCGTTCCACCTTGCCCCGCGGCGCGCAGCATATGAAGAGAGACCCGCGCCCTGCGATACACATGGCTGCACAGGGATGGGCCCGTCGCCAAACCAATTGGTTGTTTATCTATGTCCTTCGGCCCGTACCGCTACTGTACCTGAGTTCTGGGCCAGAGGATCCTAGGAAACCTATGATGCGGGGTCTCTTGGAATGATTCTCAGGCGCCTCGTGGAGCGAGTGTTGAAGCTTCTTGTGGCCTCCTGTGGGCCATGTGGGTGCCTCTCGGGGCAAGCTCTCGCTCCTTCTCGGGGCCCTGCGGGATGGCGTAAGCCACTTGAACAAGAACTAGAACTACCCGCGTCTCGCGCGCGCTTAGGTTCAGGCAAGCACCCCCCCATGACAAGGTCACCGCCGCCTAGGCTGCGGGGTGCCCCGCCAGCGTGAAGGCCGCGGCGGCGCCCGCCCGCAGCCTTGGCGGCGGCGGCGTCTCAGCCGAAACGGCTGCCGGCGGCGGCGACGGCGTCGAGAATCGTCAGGAATGCCGCCGGGCGTCTTCGAGGCCTCTCGGGCCGTCTTGGACGCTGTGAACGCCCAAGAAGCGAATATTGTCAAAACATACATTTTCCGGAAGGAATGGGGCCATGCGTGCCTCTTGGGGCTCTCTTGGGAGGCCTCTTCGGGGCCTCTCTGGGCGTCTTGGGGGCTTCTTGGCGGTGCTGGAGAGGATGAAGCCAGCTTGAGCAATCTTGGCCGTCTTGGAGGGCATCTAACTTGTCGTGGAGCAGGAAAGAGAACTCCTGCAGCCCAGGCACCGCCACGGGCGAATGGGCCTGGCCCCCACCCCCGGGCCTGCAACGCCAGCTATTATACGTACACGGGGAGAGAGAGAGAGAGAGAAACAAAAAGAGAGAGAGAGAGAGAGATACTCCTTGAGTGCAAACACTGTTCGGGGAACATGTGTTTTTCAATTGCGACCTTGATTGTTCCCCTGCTTGGGTAGACTCTGCCTGGGCTGCTGCTGGGCCCCCTGGCCTTGACTGTCCGAAGCCTTGCCCTCCACCGCCAGTCGGCCGAACCGCTCGAGTCATCCAGTCTGTCGCAGCGAACCCCGTCCCTGTAGGACGGGGCAGGATCAGTCAGCATCGAATCGCGAAGTCGGATCGGATAAAAATATTGAATGTATTGGACTGCATCGGCACGGAGTCGAAATCGCATGGGATCGGCTGCGCAAGCATGCACGGCAACGGCGTGCTACATTCGGGCCGCATCGGATCGCTGGCATATCGGAATCGAATCGGATCGGGCCGAACGAACTCTGTATCGAATCGGATCGATCGGATCGAAATGGACCCTGCGGGGTCGCTCATCGGGGTGCGGCACGGATCGAGCGGCGCCACGTGCAGCCAGTCGTCCCGCATCATCATTCCCTGCCTCCCTCGAAGTGGTTCTCGAGCCGAACCAGGCCCACACGGGGCCGATCGAGGAGGCAGTAGCATCACTGAGATGATCGTTGAGCCGAAGCTGCTGGGAGGGGGTCCCGACCCAGAAACCTGCCGACAGTATCCGAAAACCTCCGAAGGCTTAGAAGGGATCGGCCCCTTCGCTCATTATCCTACGCCGTGAGGCTCGAAGGACGTGAACCGTCCACCGCGCCGACCCTGTTCAGGCCCATCCTGGACCCAGGATCTGTGGATACGCCCTCCTGGATAGGCCCGGCCAAAACTGGCGAGCTGGATACAGTCGGGGTGGATTGAAGGGCCACATTGCCATGTGAATGTAGAAGCATGGGTCGCGAGGCACAGGACACAAGGGTACCCTTGATTTAGCAGGTTCGACCTACTAATCAGCCTCGACTGTAGCTGAAGCCCCCAGAAGGGTGGCCAGGCGGTCCAGGAGCCTGCCAGCACCATCGCCCGGGGCCCGCCGCACGCCCGCGCGCAGCGGCGCCCAGCGCCGCCGCCGCCTCACATCCGGACCGGCGCGTGGCCGGGGCCCCGATGTGGACGCCCGAAATGGGTACGGAAAAAATGG